TGAGGGTCAGAGACTTTAAGGAAAAAACAATTTTGTGCTCAAAGTTCAAAGATGGAATATAATTGATTGGGATGGATAGAGATGGGGTTAGGGACAGCCTCTGAACAACTGATACCAAGTCACTGACTCAAGTGCCTCATCATAAACCCATACCAAACCAAATTGGCTGCTTTTGGGTCTATTTTGACTCATGGAGACGCCATCATTAAAACAAAATAAAACAAAACAAAAACACCCATTGAGTTGATTCTGTCTCCTGGTGTTCCTATAGGACAGAGTGGGACAGCTCCCTAGGGATTCCGGGGCTGTAAGTCTTTATAGGAACAGAAAGCCACATCTTTCCACTGTGAAACAGCTTGAGAATTCAAACCACTGACATTGTAGTTAACAGCTCAATGCTTAGCCCACTATGCCAGACAGTGGAAGCCTGGTTTCAAATATACTTTTGAGGAAACTGTGGTCCCTTGTTAGTTTAACTTATCTGGTCCTCTGTTATTTCACCACAGCTAACCTCCAGAGCTTGTTGTGAGGACCAATGAAAGCGTCTAGTTCAGTGCCCAATGCACACAGATTTATTGCTATTGTTAAGTACCTTCGAGTCAGTTCCCACTCATAGCGACTCTGTATAGAGTTTCCAAGGAGCAGGTAGGTGGTGAGTTTGAACCAGTGACCTTGCAGTTCAAACTGACCTTGCAGTTCAGTGCATTATCCTACAGCGCACATTAGAGACCCAATAAACTTGGCTCCCTGCCCCACATCCTGGCACCAGGAATGCTACAGGAAAGAGCACCTGGGCTGACCCCTTCCAGCTTGCCTCTCCTCTTTCCCTTTCCAAGGGCAGCACTGTGTCCTACAGCCAGAGAGGGCCCCAGCCCCGAGCCCTAGGCAAATGCTGTGGCTTCTATGATGGTTCAGACAAGCCTGTTATTCCCGACAGCATCTAGACAGAGCTGCTCTTGTTAAATACGGATGGAGGCCCCAGATAGAAAGGAACGTGAAAACAAAGGGTGTTTTATTTATGTAGAAAAAGAAACCAATAAGGAAAAAAAAAAAGGAGAAGAAGCTACAGACCCAACAGGAGGGGGTCATGTTTAAATAAACTAGGGCACATCCACTTGCTGGAATATTGTGCAAGTATTGAAATGATGTTTACCCAGCGTTTGTAATAACATGGGAAAATGCTTATTCTAAAATGCGAAGTGAGAAAGGACGCTCCTGAATTGTATATTCAGCATAATCACACCTAGGCAAAATTCATGGCAAACAAAAACTATGCCTAGAAGGAAAAGACAAGAGGAATGAGCACCATAGTAGGAGTTATCTTTGGGCGGCAAAATTGGGAAGATTTGTTATACTTTTCTCTATCTTCCCATTTGTTTCTGTAATGGGCATAGCTGACTTAAAGTTGAAAGCAACCCAAATTTAATTTGTTGTTGTTGTTGTTGTTCTCTAAAGAAGACAGAACTCTTATTGGGAAAACAGGACAGTTGACTCACAGAGCAGCGAAGTGATGCTGAGGCTAAGGGCAGAAGGTCCACAGACCCCAGGCCATTAAACAAGGTCAAATGGAAATCCTACCCTTTGCCATCATATAGTGATATCTAAGGGCTGATAGTCTGGCCTCTGCGCCTGCAGGAGAATGTTTTTACTCTCACCTCAAATGTGTAGACTTTGCTGCTCCTGTAGGGAATATGGCTTGTCTAGGTTCAAGAGCCTATCCTTTATGTAGGGGCACCTTCCTTCACACACCAAGATGGCGCTCCTTGGAGGCAGCCCTGTTCTCTGGGCTAGCATGGCAAAGTCCTTCCAGAATCAGGACCAGCCTTCTTGTCCTCTGAGCCAGTCCTACTTGGTGAATCTCCCAGATCTCCATTTAGGGGTCTGCTCCAATGTCATCTTATAAGGGTGTCCTGATCACATGATTTACAAGAGCAGTCCTTCTCCTCTGGCCTTCCCTGTCCTACTTCCCTGCCTTATCTTTCTCCAGAGTGCTCATTCAGCTCAAGTTCTACTTACATGTTTATTCATTTAGTGCCTGGCCCATAAAACCAAGATTGAGTCTGACTCATAGGAACCCTATATAGGGTTTCAAGACTGTAAATCCTTCTGGCAGCAGACACCTTCATCTTTCTTCCTTGGAGCAGCTGGTGGGTTTGAAGTGCCAACCTTGCAGTTTGCAGTCCAGTGCTTATCCTATAGTACCACCAGAGCTCCTTGTTTGGCCCATAGAAATGTTGTTTCATAAGAGTACGGATCGATCTTGATCGTCAAGATGGTCCCCGGAGTCACCATGATGGCCCTGACACTTGTCATCATCCAGAGACCGAGACAGGGATGATAAATACGCTGGGACTCTAATTTGTTGGTAATGGCTGCATGGGACCCTGTGTTGAAACAGTTCTGGGGCCATTATAAGGACTGAACAGGTTAAGACAGATGACCAACAGGTGATGTTTACATGGGAACCTAAGGGAAGTAGATTAGATGTGCTATGCGTTTCCTATCTGGGCCCAAGCCCAAATCTCAGCTCCCACTTTCATTAGGAAGATCACACCCACCAGCAATTGGGGTCTGAAACAAACTTTGCTGTCTTATATCTAGAATCATTTCGCTGGTCCCTATAATATGGATACAAAGAGCATCTGTGATCCCCGGTCCCCTCTGGGCCTGGAACCCTCCCTGGAATTCTACTCAGCTTAGTGTGATCTTGTCCTATGCTGGACCTCCCTCACCAGAGGTCTGCCCTTGGGTACTGGATCTGGTTCCACACAGCACCAGCTCTCAGATTGGGTAGTCCTTCTAAGAAAACCCTTACCCAAAGCCTGGTATCACAACTCCCAAGACTGGCAGGCAGTCATATTCCTGAGTCATACCCCACCCTATGAGTCCTTTGGAGGCTAGTGTCCATAGCTTAGTGCTGGCCCATCTCCTATGGAGACCCCAAGGCATTCTGAGGCCAGGATATTTGACTCCAGTGTCCACCTGGCATGGAGCTGTTTTCTCCTGTCAACATGGGGACCAACATATTTCAGGTGGAATGAGCAGGAAGAGATCTCAGACCTCGTCTTGGCCAGAAATGACTCCTTCAAACTGTGTCCACTAGAAGCACCGGCTCATGCCTGACACTGGGCTTGAGCTTGGCCTTGGCTGAGGGCCAGGGTCTCTCTCCAGGGACCAGCTGACCTACCACTCTCAGCCTACAAGTTAGAAATAACTCTGGTAGCCTCATCTACTGAGGCTCTAGGTCACAGAGGTTGGCCTTGTGTGGTCCAATAAAGGTCTTTTCTCATTGCCATGCTAACTTTCTTTCCATTCTTTGTTCCAATCCCGCGTCTTCCAAAAAGACCCTTGGCCTCAACCGCAGCTGCTACAGTGAACCATCTCCTGCCTAGACCACCCTGGAACTTGGGAAGAACTTTCTCCAGGTACTTTCATTTCCCTCTAAGCCAGAGAAGGACTTCAGTTGTTGTCTTATTTTTGAGATTGGGATAACAAAGTCCAAAGCATCCTCCTCTTCTCACTTGTCCTGGTACCTCCCATCTCCACTTCTGCCCTCTATGTTCTTATCACTTTAGAATCAGTCCTAACACCCCTAGCTTCTGGAACATCCTCTGATGTGACGTCTGTGTCTATGCCTCCCTTGGAGAGGAAATCGGGGCTATGGTAACAGAGAGGGCTCTTTCCCTTTCCCTCCAAAATAGAATGGTACCTCTCTGAAGTTGGAAGTTTTTCTCCATTACAGAATTTAACAAACCTGGGTTGAAATGAGACCCTGGTATCTGAATGCTCCATTAGAATCTTCCAGCTCCTTAGCTCCATCATGAATCAACCCATCTCTGGACTTGTCCTCTCTGGTGAGGAACCGGGAAACAAAACTATGCATCACCTCCATACTGGCCTTAAAGAATTGGCTGGGCAGCCTCCAGCTCCCGGACAGGAGAGATCTGTTCAAAAGGATTCTGAGGTTCAGGGTAAAGAGTACAATGGTCAGTTAGCAATGGCCACCATGATTAGGGGCCTAGGAAGAGAGTAGCACTTGGATCTTAGATTTGTCCTTTCTGTCTTGAGAATTTAGATATAGAATCAACAGTATTTTTAGTAGACCACTATGAGAAGATGTCCTATTTTAAATGACTGGTAGAAACACACACCCATTTCTTTTTTCCATGGCTAGAATTCCAGACAAGGACCACAGTGGTTATGAATCGGGCTGCTAATCTCACGGTCAGCAGATTGAAACTATCAGCTGTTCTGCGGGAGAAAGATGAGTCTTTCTGCTCCTGGAAGGTTTTACAGCCTCAGAAACCCTATATAGGGTTACTATGAGTTGGAACCGATTCCACGGCACTTAACAACAACAACAACAGAATACCAGAAAATGAGAGAAAGTAAACTGGATTTGGTTAACTTTACTCTGCAAGAAAGTCAGAAGGGCCCCCTGGGCAGTTCCGTCTTTACCTATTTACTTCTCAAACTCTCGACCATTTCCCTGGCTTCTTACCTAGTCCTGTCCAAACCTCACCAATACTTCCATTTTCTCTACCTGTGTCCCTAATGCTTCTGGGAATGGTGGTAGTAGGAGCCTAGCAGTCAATGTTCAGGAAGGGCCCTGGTGTCATATAGAGAGTTGGCCCCCTTTTAGGGGGTCAGCATGAGGGTCATTGCGCTCCATTGGCATCTAGAACCACAGTTGCTATCAAGCTGCATTCATAAACGCTGGTGCTCTTAGTATATGCCTTTCCCCCCACTCAGAAATTCAATTAGAAGCAAAGTCGTGCTCACCTCTGCAGACAAGGGTCTCTCTACCTAGGAATGTCAATGACCATTGACCTTGGATGAGGTTGTAAAGATCATCTAAGACCCCACAATTCCTGGAGGAAGTAAGATTAGAACCTGCATTTTACTGACCAGTTTCTGGACTACCGGATCTCCTAGAAATGGCCTGCAATGTGGTGCTCTGAGTCTCTCAGTTTTGTCCAAATAGCACAGCGGAAGGACCACTAGACTCTGGTCTGGGGCACGCTGGGAGTGGGCAGGGTCAGGACAGTGGGCAGGAGAGTGCCTCGCGGGGAGGGAAAGCTCTGTAGCTCCTTGGGCACAAACCTGGGTGAGATGTGGTCTGCCAGAAAACCAAGCGTGTGTTGGCGTCCCACGCAGTAGATGTGGTTGTCCACCACCGCGCACTGGAAGGCGGCTGGGTAAGGCATCCGGTAAGTGGCACACTCATACCAGAGCCGAGTGCTGGCGCTACAGCGGTACACGCTAATGCCCAGGCTGCGGTTGAGGTCAAAGCGGTAAAGGAAACCATTAACAGCGACCATCTCGACTGTGCGGTCCCTGCCACCCCCCGTGGGGCCGGCCCACCAGCGCTGCTCTTGGGCGGAGAAGCGGAGCAGCAGGTAGCGCAGTGTGCCACCCGTGACGAAGAGCTCCCCGGCGCAGGCTGTGGCTGTGTGCGCCAGTGCAAAGGTGTCATTGGGGAGGGGCGGCGTAAAGTCCCAGCGGTCCAGGCGGGGGTCATAACGCTCCACAGTGTTCAGACACTCACCCCCGATGGCATACAGGTACCCATCTAGGGCCACCAATCGGCAGTGGGGCCGGGCCTGGCTCAACCCGCAGACTTCGCTCCAGATCCCCGTCAGTGGGTTGTAGCAGAAGACGCGGTTGGAGGGCTGGAGTCCGGGCCCCTGGCACCCAGACACCACGAAGAGATAATTAAAGAGACTGCAGAGGGCACAACCCCTGGAGACAGCCTCAGGGGGCAGGCGGGCCAGTGGGTGCCAGGCATCCTGCTCATCGTCATAGCAACAGAGGCTGCCAGAGTCCTCCTGGGGACAGACATCAAGCACCACCAGGTACTGACGGCCCCGGAGCCTGCGCCGGAGGATCAGCTCCCTCTCGCCCCCGCTCAAGCGGTCGTAGATGTCCGGGCTGCGCAGGACCTGTAGGTAGTTGTCGCTCATCACCTTGTAGGCCGCCTCCTTCAGCGCCTCCAGCTTCTGCTTTTTGGCCAAGGTCAGAACCTCATAACAATTGGCCAGGTCCAAGTGAACATCCGGGGTTGAACTGGGGCTGAGCGGGAGGCGGAAGAAATTAGTCCCAGCCACGAACTGCACGCGGGACTCCTCCATACTGCTTACGGCTGAGCTGGAGTCCGGGAATGGGGGGCCGTTGGTTGGGGCATCCTGCTCTGGGCTAGGGGAAGCTGGCATCTCAAAGCCACCGAGCTGCAGCTGTAGCTCTGGGTTCTCCACGATGTGGAGAAGACTCTGCTTCCTGCTGAAGCCAGTCGTGGCGGTGGGCAGCCTGGGCTGGGAGGGGGCCGGCGTTTCAGTTTCACCTTCCTTGTCATTATCATGGCCCCTGAGTGCTGCCCTGGTGTCCGGGAGGCCTGGCATAGAGGATGGAGCCTCAGCCAGGGCTGATGTCTTGGAGGCCAACCTTCCTCTAGAGACGGCTTGAGAATCAGACTGTACATAGTACTCGTACACTTTGCCTTTCAGCCTGGGCCTGCTCCCGGCCACCTTCTCCTGTATGAAGTTCTCCTCCGCTCGAACCCGGGCCGTAGATGAAAATGTGTAACAAGCATTGGTGGCCCCCTCCTGCTGATGCAAGGCCAGGTCCATGTCTGAGGCAGCCTGGAGGGCACCGGCCCCTTCCCTGTGGACCCCTGACATGTGGGTGAAGACCCAACTCTTGTTCATGTCACTGCTACCTTCCTGATGGGTCAGCCAGTGCTGATGGGGGAAGCCAGACTGCTCCATCACTGACTCCTCAGGGGGTCTGCAGTGCTGCCATGGGGCAAGGCTGATACCCATTGCAGCAAGTCCACTTGGGGAGTTTTTGGGTTCACTGTCTAAGTAGGAGTGGTGAGGAGGGTCAGGCTTACCGCCAAGAACTGCTCTGACTTCCTGGCCCCCACAGGGTGGTGGCACCTGCTCAGAGTCAGGGCACTGCTGGGCCTCCTCCTCATGGCTACTTCTCCTCTTGGGCTCCCCATCTCTGGAAGTGGCTGCTGTTGCCAGATCACTGGAGGCCCCTGAAGTCTCCCTGCTGCAGTCCTGAAGGGCCCTGGCCTCCTGGCTAGCCCTGCGTCGTCTCAGCCCCCGCTGGAGAGCCTCTGGAGAAGCCTTCTGGGTGGCCAGTGGCCGGGAGCCCTCTGCTTCCTCTCCACCTTCGGCTTTGGCATATCCACCCCCAGGAGGGGCCTGGGCAGGTCTCGACCTGTACAGTCTGTAGGCAGCGGTCACCAGGAGCAGGGCGGCAGCAGACAACACCACCTTGCCTGTCAGCTGCATGTCCAAGCAGCAGTCTGGGGCCTCAGCTCCTGGAGGGAGCATGCTTCTCAGGCCTCCCAGGGACTTAAGAATGTGAAGAATCCAATTAATGATTGCTCAATCCGAGGTTCCTGGTTTCTGCCAAGCTACACAGAGAAGGGGTTTCTGAGCTGGCTGAGCAGTTGGAGCAAAGGCGATTTTGAGATGGCAGAGGGCAGCCAATGGTCCAGGGCTGGCAGTCCTTAGCAGCTGGCTTCTCTCCTGGATCCTTCAATGCTTTGCCTGGGGGGCAGGGGTTTCTGCCCAGGGGTCCAGCTTGTGATCAGCCATCTGAGCTCACTTAACCACTAGCAGCCAGGGACGGACGCTAGGAGTGTCCAGCGGGTGCACGAAGAGGGAGGGAGCTCTTAACCAAATAGTCCTCCGATGCCAGGAATCACACAGGGTTGGTTACTGTTTGTATGTGTGCGCTTTTTCTCTCTCTCTCCTTTGCAAATTCACTGATCTAGCAAGAGTTGGGTGTGACCCATCATTCAGCATGGGGCAGGTGTCGCCACAGTGGGATCCTCCCTGCGTGTTTCTTTCCTGCTGGGGTCTGCTGATTCCCACGATGGGGTCAACATTTCGATAGTCAGGCAGAGGACTCAGCAGGGGAGGTTGGAGTAGCCAAACCACCTGACTAAACTCTTGTATGCTTCTGCCTTCCTCCTTACCTGGCAACTTTACCAGGAGAAACCTGACTTCCCAAGAAGGAATTTGATAAGGCACATGGTGTCCCAGAAAGGGGTTCTCCTCCCTGTCAAAACCAGACAACCTCCTACTGTGAGTGGTATGAATTCTGGAGCCAAGTTACCTGTTTCTAGCGTAGTGGTTACGAATCGGGCTGCGAACCTTAAGGTCAGCGGTTCGAAACTACCAGCTGCTCCGCGGGAGAAAGATGAGGCTTTCTACTCCCGTAAGGATTTACACCCTCGGAAACCCTGTACAGGGTCGCTATGGGTCGGAACCGACTCGAAGGCACTTAACAACAACAACAACAACCACTTACTAGTGGGACACAGTGGCTCTGTAGGATAAGCACCGGACATGGTCCAAGCCTCATCAGGCAAAAGATGAGGCTTTCTGCTCCTGAAAAGACTTTCAGCCTTGGAAACTCTATACAGGGACACTATGTGTCAGAACCGACTCGATGACACCTAACAACCACAACAGCACTTACATACCACTTGTGTGACAGATGACTTTATTTCTCTGTGCCTCAGTTTTGTCATTTGAACAATGGGGGGATGACAGCAAACTTACCTCATACGATTACAGTGATAACAAAATGGGTTAATGTGTATAAAGTAGTCAAGACAGCGCCTCTAGGTCATAAACGTTCAGTAACTATTAGCTGTTCTTCCCATTCTCTCTCCCTCTCCTTCCTTCTCATCATCAGCACTAACATCACTAGTATTAATCATCAGCAGGAAGACCTTCTGAAGCACAGACAGAATTCATCCCCTCCCCTGATCAAAGTCCTCTGTTGTGGTTAGTTGCCATTCAGCTGGACCTGAATCTCAGTGGCCGTGTGCCCAACAGAAAGGAACAGTGCTGTGTCCTTGACGTTGACACATTCCTTGGTTAGCTCAAGTCCATAGCTGCCGGAACTGTGTATTTCATGTGTTTTCCAATCTACGGGGCTCATCTTTCAGCCGGGTATCAGACATTGTTCTAAGGTGATCTATAAGATTTTCACTGGCTTGTGAAAATAGATCACCAGGCTTGTCTTCTTAGTCTGTCTTCATCTGAAAGTTTTGCTGAAACCTGTCCACCATGGGTGACACTGCTGGTATTTGAAATATATTGGTTGCTTAGCTTCTAGCCTCATAGCAACATGCAAATCACCACATTACGACAGACTGACGGACAAATGGTCTATGATGTAAGGTCCTCTAAGGATCCCCAAAGAATAGGCAGCACAGGATCTTAAACTCACACTGTCTGCTGAAGCTAGGCAGATTGTGTTGACAAGTCATACCTAACCCAGAGAGTGGTTGCTGGCAGGCTGACCCAGCCCTGTTGTCCCAGAGAAGTTTACATGCCAGGTAGTTGTATGATCATTTCAATTTTTAAAGGTTGGAATCCAAAGAATAGAAATAAAAACCACTCTGTGGACCAAATGTCACATGTGTTGTGGTTGGTGTTAAGCGCGATTGATTGGTTCCAACTCATAGCGATCGTATGGACAGCAGAACGAAATGCTGCCTGGCCGTGGGACAACCTCACAATCATTGCTGTATCTGAGCCCATTGCTGCTGCTACTGTGCCAATCCATCTTGTTGGGGGTCTTTCTCTTTTTCTCTGTCCCTCCGCTTTACCAAGCATGACATCCTTCTCCAGGGACTGTTCCCTCTTGACAATGTGTCCAAAGTACGAGAGATGAAGTCTCACCATTGTGTTTTTTTTTTTTTTTTTTAAATGTTTTATTGTGAATTATGTGATAGTTTACATGGGAGAACATTAGTTTTACATTCATCCTATCGTATATCATTTCATTGCCATGGTTACAAT